TTTACACACCATAATTGTGTGAATGTGTGTGTGAATAGATGAATGGTACACTGTAGTGCGCTTTGGAGTCCTCTGAATCTGAAAGGCGCTATACAAGTGCCGGTCATTTATCATTTTAGCCGTCTGCTCTCTCTCCACTCCAGCCTTCAGTCTGCTTGCAGGTCCTTTAGTTTTGGTTTCATTGATAAATTTAACCCGTTTTGTAACCATTCCTCCTTTTTCAGGCGAAATGGTATTCACCCTAACCGTTATGGTTCAAACATGCTAACCGCAAACATCTGGTATGCTGAGCAGTTCCATAGATGTATATCTATGGCGGATTCCCTTTCACAGTCATGACGGCTTACATCCCAGCCATCTACGCCTTCGGCCATCGCTCACGCCGCCACTCCAGATAACATTGCCCCTAACAGTCCTCCCCAGATGCAACCATCATCTGTGTGTTTTCCAAAGGTCACTGTCCCCAAAATTTCTGCGGACAAACCCAAAACTTTTCTTATTCCAGTTAATTTATCAACTAGCAAATACATAAACTGTATTAATGGCCAGAGAACCCAGAAATGCACCAGATGTTTATGACCCATTCCTCTCCAACAAGTTAGGAAAGACAAATGTTCTCCAGAATTCAGTTCAGTGTGCCCTGTTAAATGCCCGCTCCATTTCAATCAAATCCTTTATTTTAAATGAGCTGTTCATCAAAGAAAAGAACTGATTATTTCTTACTGAGACATGGCAGCAAGATGGAAATTTCACACACTTCAATGAAATATGCTGTAGTGGTCATACTTTATAGTGTGACGACTGCAAATTAATTATGACCAGTAAGATGTGATTATTCCATATAAATATGAAATATCAATCTAATTGATCTTTGAATATGTAATCAGAAGAGTCTAGGGTTCTTTGCTTGTTCAGGGACCATAAACACACTTCGTATTAATTCAGACAGAGTCAAGTATGTAGTTAAAAGGAATTTTATTCTTTTCTAAACTAATGATTATACATGACAAGATATGAATAATGAGATGTGATGGAGTGGATATGCGGTGATGGAATGTGATGTGTGAGGTGGTGTGATGTAAGTTAGATGTTTTATCAGAATCTTCTGAAAGAAATTGTGGAATCTGGGTGTAAAATAATTTATTGTCTGCTATAAACTAGAGAGTCGATTATTAATAAAACCGCATCAGACACAATCTGTTGTGTCTACAAACCCTGGCAGAGACCCCCAGCAGATCCAGACTGTCAGAAGTCGGGTGGACTTCACGGCACCTGGAGCCAGTAGATTAACTCTGTAGGGGGTACCGAAGTTCGTAGAAAAGACTGCAGTACAACCAGCTCGGTCCAGAGTCGTCTCCCGGATCACAACAGATAGCTGTTCTAGATGCAAACGATTTCATCTGTTTCTGAATAGCTGAAGGAACCGTTTTGTTGTGTCAGCTGTAGGCAGCTTTTAGCTTGTCGAAAGCTTGTCAAGAGGTGCGGTGTGAGCAGAGTTTCCCTCCGATGGCCAGTCAGAGTTAGCTCAACTAACAGGATGCTGAATCTCACAGAATGCTGGAATGCTGAATCACTCCCCAGTGATTGTTTTAATATTCTCATATTATGATTTACTTGGCCAATCGGGACGTGCCATGTTAAGGGGTGTTAACAAACAAACCTCAGAACATCACGCCTTCTTTCAGATACAGGATACCCTGATTTGTGGGTAAGAAAATATCTCTGTGCAGTGACGTTACATTAATTTGAATTTATCTCTAATGAACATTGTGTCTGAGTGTAGATAATGATTCACTTGTTAAATCAAACATTACTGATCTGAACCGGAACCACAGGCAGCAGAATCAGGTGATGAAGCAGAGAGGTTTTCCCAGGAAGCAAGGACCACTGGCGAAACTCAGGAGAGGAGAAGAGCACACATGCAGGGCACTTGCATGTAGACACACATAGATTGCATCTGATGTAAAGACTGACTATGCAGTCAGAGAGATCAGGGTCAGCCAGTAGTGGTACAGGGCGACATGTCCCCCCCCCCCCCCCCCCCCCCCCCCCCCGGGTAGGTGAGTCACCAATCTCAGGGCTAGAGGTCACCAGCGCCAGTTGTAGTGGAATAGGGTCAGTGGTGTTGTCACATATCTTGCCTTATATTTCTCTGTCCCGTTTGAATTTCTCTTGAGGGCGTATACCCATTTGCCCCCCACTGCCTTTTTGCCGTCTGGAAGGGTTGTCAATGTAATGAATAAAAAGGGTCAAAGTTCACCATCGAATTGACACAGCATAACCTTTCATACACTCCAGAGCTGCAACGTCAAGGTTACACCAGCTGGAGGATCCAGACGCATAAATCAACCTTTTGCTCACTTATTGTTCTTCAACGCAGACTTAAATAAACTGTCAAGGTCTCCCGCAAAAGCCCTCATCTCTCTCTCAAAGTCAGACTGCTGGATCCCTCACCTTGAATAAAAAGTGAACTTTTACAACTCATAAGTTAAATAATCACATGTGATGAATGAACAGGTTGTTTAAATGAAATGTTTGAATAATCTGTGCTTAAATCAATGAAGTTGAAAGGATTGTTGCTCTTACAATGATCCACTGCAGATCTTATGATCAGTATGTGTTTGATTTAACAAGTTAATCGTTATCTACACTCATACACATCTTCATAAGATACAAATTATGGTTAAGCTTCACCTCACATATCGTTAAAAGATTCTTTATTCACAGAATTAAGAATCTTGTATCTGAAGGAGGGAGTGGCTTTCTGAGGAATGTTTTGATAAAGCCTTCCAGATATGGCACATTCTGATTTACCAGAATATGTCAGAAATAATAACATTGTGGTTTAATAAAACAATTATACTTAATAATAATACTTCCAGATTAATTCAATTGCCAGTAATGGGCTACTGATTATTTAACTCTTCCATTTTTGATAACATTTTTGCTCAAAAGCTTTAATTTTCCCTTACATATATTTTAGGGTTTTGTTTATTTTGTTCTTTTTGCAACACTTTTTCAGTACACGTAGTTTACTGCATCCACTCTTTTAAGCTGACCTCCTTTCACATAATCTCCATCCATCAGGGTAAACGTCTTGGTATCATCTAAAGATGCCGTTTCCTCTTCCATTGCTTTCCTTCATTTTTTGGAGTTTTAAGACTTGAGAGCTTTTTCAAATGTTAAAGGGATATTACCTAAGATTCTATAGCAGTAATCAATGTTTATCAAGGCTTGATCATCATCTGTTATGTAATCATTTAAATAATTTGGCTTTTTTCTTATCCTAGACGGATAATGTTTTGAATCTGTCTCTCCTTCCGAGATATCGGTTTGGCCTCTAGTTACCTCTCTGGGTTCTGGCTCAGGTATTTTGACTTTACTGTTCTCCTTTCTTGCTCTTTCGCTACCTGGGAACTCAAACTCTTCATCCAAAACTGTCTCGGTTTGTGTCTCAGTTTCCCCTGTTGCAAACTTTACTAATTTGTGTTTCAGCTCTCTGGAAATTAAACTAGATAGAACTACATTTGTGCCTTCATGACTTTGTCTGTGGCTGTTGTTGCCCGCAACTTCTCCGTTTCTTCATAACTCCTCAGCTTACTTTTAAAATCAGAGAATATTATGGTTTCGTCACCATAAGTAATGTAGATGACGAATGGTTTGAACAACTCAGGTAGACCTTGTAATACTATAGCTATTGGCAGTCCATCACCTGCATTCCTCAGTGCTATGATGGCGGCCTCCGCTCTCTGTACGTAGTCTGTCACACTTTCATTACTTGTCTGGTGCAGTGAAGTCAGTTCAGTGTAGAGGCTGATAATGCGGGGCTTTCCCTTACCGGCATCTCTTCCAGTATTTTCAGGGCTATTCTCCCATCATCTATGACATCTCACATCACAAGCGACAAACATATTGTCCAGGAATTGAATGAGCACATGCTTCGGCGTTTTTCGACTTATCGTCATCGGTGTCTTCACCTTCCCTCTGTGGCTTTAATATAACATCTTTCAGTCCTTTTTCACTTGCCTTTTGTCAGACTCTGAAACAGGAAATGGTTGCAGGCAGTGAGGCAGTAGCCAGAAATCTCTGGAGCAACCAGTGACTCATTCCACCTTCCTCTTTCCCCCACCATCAGACCTAACCCTTTTTTATGCCACTTAACGTCAATATAACATTTTTCTGTGCCTCTATCTCATCCACAAGCAGTTCAATTTCAGCCTCACTGAAATTGTTCTCTAGACCTCTTGGTTTCAATGGTTACCCGCACAATTCCAAAAATCAGCATGATCATTTATATGCAGAATATTTTTAAAGCCCTTTGCATTGACCAGTCATGAGAAAAAGTGGGTGCTTTGAAAACGAGATGAGATCCAAAATCACCTGAGTCCATTTCTGATTTATAAAGCAGAGATTGCATTCAGCTGTGTGTAAGCAGTTTTTATAGCTCAGAAAACTAGGTTGCATAAATAATGTCTTTTGCTGACCTTAAGCTGAGTTTCTGTAAGGATTATCTGCTAACTAAAGCCAGGTGTTTTGGAGGACAGAAACGACTAGATCAGTTTGGGGGCAGCAGTAGCTCAAGTGGTAGAGCGGGTTGCCTCATGATCGGAGGTTCATGGGTTCGATTCCAGCTCCCGCCAGGGGAATCCTGCTGTTGTGTCCTTGGGCAAGATACTTCACCCAACTTGCCTGTGTTAGTGGTGGTCAGAGGGGCCGACGGCAGCTGTGGCTACAAGTAGCTTACCATCACTAGCAGTGTGTGAATGTGAGAGTGTGTGAAAGCGTCTTTGGGTGTCTAGAAAAGCGCTATATAAGTTCAATGCATTATTATTATTATTATTATTATCATGGCGGGACAGTAACCTCTTCTGTAAGATGGCTCTGGAAGACCAGCGTTTCACATGTTGGTTTTGCTGTTTCTGCATCTTAGCGTTGTAAATACAGTCAGTAGAACTAACATCAGAACATTTTTCTGTGGTTTGTATCATTTTTCCTCTCAGGTGATCGATGAGATCTACCGTGTTCTGCGATATGTAAACTCTACTCGAGCCCCCCAGCGAGCTCATGAGGTTCTCCAGGAGCTGAGGGACATCTCTTCCATGGCCATGGAGTATTTTGATGAAAAGATTGTCCCTATTTTGAAGAAAAAGCTTCCAGGGACCGATTTGTCTGGCCGTCTCATCGGATCTGCACCAGGTAATTTTATTTGTGGTGTAATGTGATGGATGTGGTTACTTTGTGATTAATAAGGTGTGATATTCCATATAAATATGACTTAGCAATCTGATTGGTCTTTGAATATTTGATTTAATATGAACTTCCGTTCTTTGGACCATTCAGGGAACACACTTCATATTAATCAGGGTGTCCGCGGGGTTTTAAAAAGTATTAAAAAGTGATAAATAAAAATAGTCAAATTTAAGGCCATTAAAAGTGTTAAATTTGGTCACAGAGGTATTATTTTTTCCAAATTAGGTATTAATTTTTTCGGACTATCAGGTGTCGTATTCTGAACATCGACATAGAAATATATTCCGAATGAAATGTTATGAACGATTATAAAAACAAAACAAGCCGATTATGTGCTCCTCCCACTTACGCTGCCCTGAGTTGCAAATGAAGCGCTCCTCACAGTGTTGCCAACTTAGCGACTTTGACGCTATTTCCAACAGCTTTTCAGACCCCCTTCTTGACTTTTTAAATCTTAAAAGTACCTAGCGAACACCTCAGAAACATCTCTGGTAACCCTTAGCTACTTTCTGGATAACTGTCGTCGACGTTTCCTGCAGGTTAGCTAAACACTCCGCCTGCGCTGCGGACCGTTCTTCAGGACATTAGGAAAGGGAATGATAGTCGCTAAAGACAGCTCTCGGAGCCGGCTTCTTGTTGGATTAACCAGAGTGAGTGACACACACACCGTACCTGCGGACTCCTGAGCCGCTAAAAACGGCTAAATGTGCGCGTGCGGCGCGTGCGCGTGCAGCTTGCCCCTGATAGCTGTGAGACCGGGTTGGGGGGTGGGGGGTGCAGCTGTGGTTGTGACAATTATTACATTAACTGATGGACGACTTGTAAATAAATAGTTTATAAATAAGGTAGAAATGAGTTCCTCACGCTGATAACTAATAACTAATCTCTCTGAGGACACGGTGCTAGTGCACGCTCCTAGAGCACCTTGACAGGACTCAATAAATGTTATGCAAAATTTTGTGAACATCAATTTGCATGTATTTGTTATAAATGCCACTGTATAATTCTTGTTGTCAGTATTTGCAAGATATTGGTATTTGGGTCTGTACTGGTTAGACTTAAATGAGTTAAACCAAGGTCAATAGCCCTTGGATCATAAACTATGAGCTATAAGTATGTGGCAGTGTGAGTGTCCTGTCACAGTGTCCCGATAGATTATGCGTCCTGGCTACTTGGCCAAGGGGTTGGCTGACTGGTTAGAGAGTATGACTCTCACCTGGGAGTCTGGGGATCGAATCCTGCCTGGGCTCTCATTTATCCACAAGTACATTGGTCTTTTTATACTGGGAATCGGGAGTTATTTTAGTGATCATCTTGCTTCTTGTTTATTTTTGCCCTGATTGTGCCCTGAGCAGTTTTATGACTGAATAAAAACAAAAACAAAAATCTACATGAATTGAAAAATCGTCTTAAAAAAATCGAGATCTCAATTTCAGTCACAATAATCGTGATTATTGTTTTTGCCATAATCAAGCAGCCCTACTTTAGCATATCCGGTCACATAATGATGACGTCATATTCAGTGGTCGTTCTGCATCATTTCAGGCCTCATGGTCAACTGTCTGGACCGCTGAACAGAAGTGCCTGGCTTATTTTCTAAGTAAAATAAATATGGTCAATACGTTGTCAACATCAGTGAGTCTCTAAGTCTATTCTTTTTGTATGTTATATATGTTAAAATATGTGTAAATAGGTCGCTGATTAACACTTGCAATTAAGTGTTGTGATGGTTTTAAAAAAATTCTGAAGGTAGTAAAAAAAGTATTAAAAAGTAGTAAATTTTACTTAAGGATTGCTGTATATACCCTGTTAATTCAGTCTGTCAAGAATATAGTTTATAAAAATGAATATACAGTGATCTCTCGTTTATCGCGGTAGATGCGTTCCAGACTTGGCCGCGATAGGTGAAAATCCGCGAAGTAGGGACACCATATTTACAGTACAGTGTCAGAACCCAAGTTCCCAGGCCAGCCTCATCCAGCTAGCCGGCCTCCACTATGGACCAAAACTCCCAGCATGCCCCTCGCAGGGATTCCCTCCACGTTGCATCTACGTCACAAACCGCGGCTATAAACGGAAGTCGCCTTTCCAGCTCACCACTCAGTCATCGTTTCTTCAGATTCATGATCAGAGTTTCCAACCTACCGATCAATCCAACGAACTATCAGCTCATAGTACAGGTGCTGGCCAGTAAATTAGAATATCATCAAAAGGTTGAAAATATTTCAGTAATTCCATTCAAAACGTGAAACTTGTACATTATATTCATGCAATGCACACAGACCAATGTATTTCCAATGTTCATTACATTTAAATTAGATATTCATAAGTGACAACTAATGAAAACTCCAAATTTGTTATCTCAAAAAATTAGAATATTCTGAAAAGGCTGAATATAGAAGACACCTGCTGCCACTCTAATCAGCTGATTTACTCAAAACACCTGCAAAGGCCTTTAAAAGGTCCCTCAGTCTTGTTTTGAAGGCACCACAATCATGGGGAAGACTTCTGACTTAACAGCTGTCCAAAAGACAATCATTGACACCTTGCACAAGGAGGGCAAGACACAAAAGGTGATTGCTAAAGAAGCTGGCTGTTCGCAGAGCTCTGTGTCCAAGCACATTAACAGACAGGCGAAGGGACGGAAAAAATGTGGTAGAAAAAAGTGTACAAGCTCTAGGGATAACCGCACCCTGCAGAGAATTGTGACGACAAACCCATTCAAAAATGTGGGGGAGATCCACAAAGAGTGGACTGCAGCTGGAGTCAGCGCTTCAAGAACCACCACGAGGAGACTCATGAAAGACATGGGATTCAGGTGTCGCATTCCGTGTGTCAAGCCACTCTTGAACAAGAAACAGCGCAAGAAGCGTCTCGCCTGGGCCAAGGACAAAAAGGACTGGACTGATGCTGAGTGGTCCAAAGTTATGTTTTCTGATGAAAGCAAGTTCTGCATTTCCTTTGGAAATCAAGGACCCAGAGTCTGGAGGAAGAGCGGAGAAGCACAGAATCCACGTTGCATGAGGTCCAGTGTAAAGTTTCTACCGTCAGTGATGGTGTGGGGTGCCATGTCATCTGCCGGTGTTGGCCCACTCTGTTTCCTGAGGTCCAGGGTCAATGCAGCCGTCTACCAGGAAGTTTTAGAGCACTTCATGCTTCCTGCTGCTGACCAACTTTATGGGGATGCAGACTTCACCTTTCAACAGGACTTGGCACCTGCACACAGTGCCAAAACCACCAGCACCTGGTTCAAGGACCATGGTATCCCTGTCCTTGATTGGCCAGCAAACTCGCCTGACCTTAACCCCATAGAAAATCTATGGGGTATTGTGAAGCGGAGGATGCAATACGCTAGACCCAACAATGCAGAGGAGCTGAAGACGACTATCAGAGCAACCTGGGCTCTCATAACACCTGAGCAGTGCCACAGACTGATCGAGTCCATGCCACGCCGCATTACTGCAGTTATTGAGGCAAAAGGAGCCCCGACTAAGTATTGAGTGCTATACATGCACATTCTTTTCATGTTCATTCTTTTCAGTTGGCCAACATTAGAGAAACAAACATTTTTTCATTGGCCTTTAGAATATTCTAATTTTCTGAGATACCAGATTTGATGTTTTCATTGGTTGTCACCTATAAATATCAAAATTAAACGTAATAAACATCGGAAATACATTGGTCTGTGTGCATTGCATGAATATAATGTACAAGTTTCACGTTTTGAATGGAATTACTGAAATATTTTCAACCTTTTGATGATATTCTAATTTACTGGCCAGCACCTGTAAGTTATCTTACTTACTTCTGGAAAGCCCGGCATTTCCGTGTCACTTCGTTGACTCTCGAACGCTCGGGGGTTTCCTAGATTAAATCGTGAGCCGGCGTTTCACCGACGCTCTCACTTCCGTGTCTGTGAAACCACGCTCCCTACAAGCTCAACTCCCGAATCCAGCCGACCAGTCTGACATACAGTACTATATTGAATTATCGTATGATCACATTCTCTTTTTGTGGGTAAAACTCAAGAAAAAAATTTTTTTTTACTTGGTTTTTTTATAGTTTTATTACAAAAAGTGCATTTTATGATGAAATTGATGAAAAAAACAGGAATTTCTTGAGATTTTGCATAGAAAAATACCGCGAATCGGTGAAAAATACCGCGAATCAGCGAATTTCCCTTGAATAAGGCTCCAAAGAAAAAATCCGCGAAGTCGTGAATCCGCAATAAACGAACCACGAAGTAGCGAGGGATCACTGTAATTCTATCTTTCTAAACTAATGATGACACAGAACTAATTATGATGAATGATGGTTGGACTAGATAACTGAGACAATGAATTAAATGATGGAATGTAAGCTTAGATGCTATGTAGCAAAACCTGATTCAGTATCTGAGAAATTTGTGATGTCTGGGTTGTAAAATCAGTCTGATTGATGGCTTAACAAGCTATAGATTAGGGCCTTCAGCAATTAATTCAGTATTCTATTTGATGATGTTTCTAGTGAAACGAGACTGTGGTCTGCTGTTAAAATTATTAAAAAATAAAACAACAAAATGATAATGGGATCAACAATATGCACTAAATTGATGTTGTCTTGTTCCCTCTTTCGCAGTTGATATTTACAGTTAATGAATAATTTATTGAACAAAATTTTACTTACATTTTGTTAAAATTTTAGGTTTAATATCACTCATTCTTGTATCTAAATATATTCACATATGATCTGTAGAATTGAATCATTTCAGTAACATGTTCAGGAGTAAGCTACTGGAAATTATAATATTTAATTTCTACTAGTAACAATGTAATGGTGGCATACGTATTTTATTATGTACGGGTTAGCAACATAATCCAGTCTACGTTGTATTCAAATATAGAAGCGTTTTTGAATTACATGCTACAACGGTTTGCTGTAGATCTACTGCGATGTGTGGGGCAGACTCGCAGTGTTGCCAATTAAGCGACTTTGAAAGAAGTCCCGTGTTTTTGTCGCTGTTCCTAACAACTTTTTGACCCCCCCTCAACGACTTTTTTTCCAAAAAGCGCCTAGCGACAAACCTAGCGACCCGTTGCTACTTTCTGTAGAACTTTCTTGTAGATATTCCCCACAGATTAGCAACAAAGAAACCATTTGCACTCTGAACCGTTCTTCCGGGAGTAAGGAAAGAACAATAATCTGCACATGTGCACGAGGACTGACCAATCATAAACCGTTTTCGGCTGGGCGAAGACAAAGGCACAGCTGCATAGCTGGAGACCGCCGGCTTACGTCTGCTGCTGCTGCAGGCTCACGCTTCTACTAGAGACGGCGCAGGCGTCAACCTGCCATCTCTGGTTCTGCAGCCGTCAGACACTGGTTTTTCCTGCATTTGGCAAATAAAGTCAACGGGAGTTTCAACTACCGTCCCGTTTACACACGCAGCTCTGTGGCTCATCTGAATTTCCTTCAGTGACACAGGGATGGTTATGCCATGAGACACCCACTCCCTTTTGCTCGGTGCATCGTTATTATCACGATGGAGAGAATACACAACAGAGAAGTTTAGAAACTATGAGGTGTAAAAAAACTGCTTTTTAGGAAAATGTAAGAATGAGGAGAGCAGGAGGTCTGAGTTATATCCTACAACAGAACAGTTTGGATCACCACACCATATCTGTCTTAATGTCACTTTATTGATACTTTTGGAATTTATTTTACACATCAAAGCATTTTGGGCCATTTTAATCATACTAATTAATAACATTAACAACGCCAATGTGGCGTGATGACGTCATCAATATGCAAATTAGCATTTGTTATCATCTGGCGACATCTGGGTGACTTTCTGGGTTAACTTCAGCTACTTTCTATCAGGGGGAGTTGGCAACACTGCTCGCTAACGCTCAGTAGCAACAACAGCAGACTGCAGGTAGCAGCTGCAGCGGTTCTGCTCCATACTGCTGCAGCTGCAGGGATTTTCTTCTGCTTCTGGAGTTTAGTCATTCACAACCATCACGTTTTTTTCTGAACTCGATCGTGATTTGTGAGCGTGCTACACGCTAGCTTAGCATTAGTCAGTCTACCCACGGTTCTTATCCCAAACTTTGGACCGTTTCTGCCTTACAAGGGTTTCTGTCTTCGCTGGTCCCTCTATTCTCCTCCACAGCACCTAGATTACAACATTGTGCGCCAGTAAAATGCGTTCAGACCATGGACGTAATTTTCACTTTAGAAGTGGGGGGGACAAGGGGGGGGGGATCTTTACAGTATGCTCTAATGGGAAACAGGCTTCAACACAAATGGTTGTTTTCTGCTTGGTCCTAGAGTTCAACCAGTGTCAGTTTTATATAGCATAATATTGTTTTTGGATGGTAAAAAGTGCAGGGGTCCAAACTTGACTTTGGAAAAAGTGCCCCCCCCCCCAAAAAAAAAAAAAATTACGTCCATGGTTCAGACTGTGGTGCGCACATTAGTGTGTGAAGCTTCGAATCAGTAAAAAAAAGAATTGAGGAATTTAATGAATTGAACCATTCAATGATTCGTTTCAGCCCTATTTTAGATTATTTATGAAAAGCCATCCTACGCCTGTGTGCAGGTCTACGATACCCATGTTGGAGACTCTGGGTGGTAGTGGTGTGCATCTCTACCTGCCTCACGATTCGATCCGATTCCGATTATCTGCCTAAAGATTCGATTTGAGTCTGAAATGCATCACGATTCTTCACACAAAAATTTTCATTACTTAATAAAAGCAGTAGAATAGTTTTCAATTTCTTTTTGATTTCGAAATTCCTGAAAAACCGAACATTCATCTATTCACTATAGTGAGCAATAATTTTTAAAGTGTGCTGCCTATAATTACTTGAATAATATAAGAAATAATGTTTTCGGTAGAGCAGCTTTAAGATAGAATATTACTGAACTTAAAAATAGTAAACAAATACTGTGTTAAGTGATTCTTTCACATCCAGGATCCCAAAACCGAAATTAGCCCAGACATCCGATTTAAATATAACGGGTACATCTTCGATTACTGGTAATGTTGGCCCTGTATCCCTGTCCGCCATTTCTGTTTTAAATTGGCGCTAGGGCAACGCGGTGCACATGTCATTGCAACTCTGCCCCCAGAAGTAATTGTGAAACCTCAAAACTTTATTGTCCTGCATAGACATAGACCAGGGGTCGGCAACCTGTTCCCATCAAAGAGCCATTATTACCCGTTTCCCACAGTAAAGAAAACACTGGGAGTCACAGCAGCCGCGGCGTTGTGGGCGGGGCCTACCCTCAGACAGCAGAGAGCTGCTCACAACAGGTGACAGCAGCCGGTACCGGTCGCTCGTGTACGTCAAAGCTATCTTTCATAAGACGATAATCAATAAAACGATTTATATAAAGTGGATCCAGAAGTTGTAGCCCGTCTCTGCCTACAATATTTTGATATTTTTCACCCTGTTGGTGGTTTTACTGAGCAGGTGCCACTTTTGTCATACGTTTCTTTTTAAAACATGTTTAGACTGTTCGGAATACAAATCCAGGCTCTGTCACGTTTGATTGTTGTAATTAAACTTTGTAGGTGGGGAAGGTCAGAAAAGGATTCGATCAATTTGTTTTCCGTCATTTACAGTGACGGAGATAACGGCGCAGTGCGCCTGGCTCTGGTGTTAATCAAGTTAAATTATATCTCTTTGCAACAATTTTCACAAGAAAACAGAACAGTTAAAAGCAGGGCTTGTGTTGTGTTGACCGGACAGTTCCCGTATTTGGCCGTTTATTTTGACGGAGAAAGAATAGAAATAATTACCCCGACGCATGGAGATGAACTGACATTTTATTCGTTTCGCAAATCGCAGATGTAGCTAAATCACTCAAGAAAAGATTCCCATCTGAACATCTGAGCTGGACATTGCTCAGCGCAGCTCACTGTCAGCATGTACTACATAAGGTCCACAGCGAGCTGAAGATGTGGAGAGGGGCTTGGAGTGCGTCGCAGAACCAGAGCGCATGCAGGAAGATTCCTCCGACTGAAGCGAGACTTGTCACTTAGAAAATGTTCCCTGATTATGAAACTTTGGCTGAATAGTGCTTGTTCCTGTCTCCAATGTGGCAACACATCCAGGAGCCGTCTGAGGAGAGTCCCAGAATCTCACATCCTCTTCAGCTCAGAAAGCGCCTATGATTACGCACAAGCGTGACGCGTCAACCCGGTCTCACAGTCAGACCGGGTTGGACCTGTTCAGGTTTACGCAGACAATCTTTACATTTAGAATTGGCATACAGATGTAAAATTAATGCAGCAAAATATGAAGCACTTTATTTAAATATCCATTCATTATTTTACAAGCACAGAGAGCCGCATCAGATGGATGGAAGAGCCACATGCGGCTCCAGAGCCGCGGGTTGCCGAACCCCCACATAGACATAGGGAGAAAAATCTCATTATGCCACGTTGCTGCATCGATGCGGAATCATGCACGGCTGAATCGCGATGCATCTTAGAATCGATAATTTTTCCCATCTCTACTGGGTGTTCCGGAGAAAAGGCAGCCAGATTGGTGATGTCACTGCATGGATTGGCTCCTGTAATCTCAAAGGTTGTAGTTCCCTTTGAATTCAGTTATCACCGGCCATGAGATGCTACCATGGTCTGCCAGTAAGACGCCCCAAGTCTGATGAGTTGTTGCGTCTGATGCTGCTTGCAAGTGTTGCAAAGAGGCTTTGACCTTGGGTCAATAGAAAGGATGGTTCTGTGTGCTTTGCTTACCCAGTCGGCCAAACCGGGAAGCTGGCTGAGAACTGGTTAGTTCAGGAAGTGAACTCCAATTTATAAACTGTTGTTTACAAATTTAGACAATTCAGTTTGACAAGTTTAAAGGACATTACCAAAATACCTCAAACATCCCTCCTTCACTCAGACACTTAGGAAGGTTATATTCTTAATGTGAAATAAAATGTCAAACATTTACGTGAAGTGAATATATTAACCATTAACAATAATATGGTAATATTAATGTGTTCATGCTAATAGATTAACATTATTAAATTCAACAAATACTAATCTGGTTTAATTTAAGATCTGAAATAAATCATCACAGGAATAACATTCATGTGAACCCATTATTCATTCATGTAGAGTATTGGACATGTTGGATTTAAACATATTGTCCATTCAACAAAATATGATTATATAAAATATAAAGTTATAAAGACATTTTATGAGCCAGGAAAGATAAACTTTATTCAAAGAGGACAGAGAAGAAGTCCTGTGTCTGTTGCAGGCTTGATGACTTCTGACAAACCACAGGATAAGTTAAGAATATCGGGTCAAGTTCATAGACTTCATGTCGGCACCACGGTGTCAGATTGACCTGTATAAAGTAACGTTTTTGGTCATATTGGTGAAATAAATGGCCATTTGGTACACTACAGTGAAAAGAAAATGGCTGCCTTTAAGAAACCAAATGTTTCATTAGGATGGTGTGACCAGTATAAAGCAATAAATATAAAATCTAACTGGAGTATACCTTGTGTGAGTTTAACTGTGAGTGAGAGAAGAGAGACCTTCGTCACACTCAGATGAAACAGAATTAGGTCAGAACACTAAAACCGTTTCAGAGTACCAGGTCAGGTCTCACTGCAGTGCCACACAGATTCCACTTTCATGCCTTTATCTGTTTCCACAGTGGCGTGTCCTTCCACCTCCCTGACCAACCTGTCCCTGCTGGCTAAGAACACCCCGTCTCGCTCTGAGATGACAAAGGTGCAGCAGCAGATCAAAGTCAACGGGGCGTCTATGACAGTTCTGCGGCGAGAAATGCAGGAAATTCGTGTGAAACAGCTCGAGCAGCAGAAGCAGTTGCAGGACCAGGAGCAAAAGCTGCTGGAGCAGAGCCAGGTGATCGGTGAACAGAACGCCCGACTAGCAGAGCTGGAGCACAAGCTCCGTGAGCTGATTGACAGTGGTGCTGCAGTCATAGGAGGACCCCAACCCTCCACGTCCAGCCCTCCTGCTATGACCCCTGCTGCTGCCAGCATGCCTCCTGCTATGTTGGCTTGTGACAATGTGGCTGTAACGTCACCCAGACAACTGGAGGGTGAGGACAGCGCCTCGCTGAAGCGCAACAGAACGAGCTCAGACCTTCCAAGACATTCCAAACGACTGCGCAGGCGGAAATGAGGATGCTGGTTTTTAGTTTGACTGATTGCACCAACCTCTCCACATCCTGTATATCATCACTCACACCATCCTGTTGGGTCTTACCGATGTTAGAATCACACCTCCACCATTGAAACTACAGCACGTACACTTGACTGGAGCTTTTAACTCTCCCGCATTGTTAATGGGGCCACATGAGCCCCAGGTGCTTTTTATTTATTTTTTCTTCGGAGTGTTTAACCACCCCCTGTCCTGAAGGGGTCACCTGACAGGACAGTGGAAGGTTAAAACACGTTTGCACACTAGAGCTGAACGATATATCGTTTATTTGTCGGAAATTGCTATTTCAAACAACGGGATCACGTGTTTGTCAAAACTGCTGTTTTAGCTTGACCGATACAGGATCGGTTGTGTCAACTATTTTAGACATCAGGGTTTTCCCATGTTACGGGGCAGCAACTAGCAGGAGGGTGCCGGAGCTGAGCCCAATTCTTCAGTTGACAGAGCGGCACATTCTGATTATTCTCCCGATTTTTTTCCCTTATGTAGCAACGCTAGAGCCGATAATAATGACTGTGGGAGTCTGACTCTGGTGCAAATGTTGTCTCTCAGCACCATGGGGGAGTGAGGGACAGAGAGACTTCTCCAGCAGCAGAATGGAGTTCACCGTCATAACACTAAGTGAACCTGAAAGTGCAACTTTTCTTCAAACGGTTTGAATTTTTCTAATGGCACACAGGTATTCAAGCAAGCATGTTAAACGTGTTTGGTGTCAGAGCGGTGTTTATTCTGTGTTTTAGTAAGGAAAAGAAACGGCCCATAACCACCTTGGTAAATAATGCAGGGACAACTCTCAATGCATTTTTTAAATACATTTGAACGCAATTTTGACCTTCAGTTTTTCTCATTGCATTAATAAAGTAGAACAAGAAGAACAAGAACCTGTCTACATAAAAATCACAAGTTGCTTCACCAGCACATTAAAGAATAAAGGATAATGGGACAAAAACATTAATAGCTTTTAATGTTTTATTTTATATATCTCTACATTATGAATGATGTGTGTAACCTTGATTTGATTTTCATAGAAAAATTACAATTCAGTTTTTTCCTAATAGCATTCAGCCCTACTGCACACGTACAATGATTGTATAAAATTTTAACAAGGAAATTCGGCTCTAATTAGCCAAGAACAAAACTTCAGGTGGTTTTCAAACTTTCTTAGTATGTCTCATTGTTACTATTACTGTGTGTCTAACTTGCATATTAATTATGACATGCTAATATTTTGTAGTCATTCGGGTCATAAATGAATATGAAGTCGGACTGTGGTATTGGTAACCTGACCCAGCATGTGCAGTCTATCAGAGTGATTAGATTCTTCTGATTTTGCCAGTCGGAGGATGACAACCATCTGACAGGAACTTAATCGATCTGCTCAGGCACAGACGTCACTGAAGCCAAACACTGAACCTAGCCTGTCTCTGGTAATGATGGTCGAGCTGTCCAAAAGAGTTTGAATGAAGGGTACTGGACTTCTTTGGTTTCCAGAAGACATTTTGTTTCTCATTCAAGGAGCTTTGTCAATTCTGACTGGAATATGGGAAGGTCAAGCTCATAAACTGGCTGTCTATTGTTGCTTAACGAGCCAAAACAATTAATGAATACCTCTCCTCTCTATTGTGAGGGAATCGTGTTGATTACATACAGGAGGGTGTGACCTAGAATGAAACTGCTTAGGAGTAAGATTTAGAGCTACATTATACTGTTAGGGTATGTTTTAGTCTTTGCTAAAGAGAGAAGAGAAGAGACTGCTTTTCCTTCTTATAGAGACCGGTTAGAAGGAGGAGCCTTCCCATTAGAAAGAGCTACTGTAACCTTGATCCTCAGTTCTTCAGCTTCTGCTTTCCTTAAGCTTGAGTTATACTTCTCCATCTGCGTCAGTGCGGAGACACGCAACGCCACTATGCGTCGGCGCAAGGGCTCTCCGACAGGCTTGCAGCAGGTGACAGAGACGTGCCCAAAATTTTAAATATCCACCAAAAGTGATGGAGACTGCAAGCTTGTAATTGGTCAGGACGCTGCTTCCTGTAAATTTGTTACCAGCACCGCCGTTGCCCTGTTAAAAAGTAAAAAGATATTTAGCAGCAGACCCAGAACAAATTGAAGAATGCATTATGGGAAAAAGTCCAAAAATATGAACGTTTATTCACTCGAGACTTGAGAAGTACAAAATATGGAATAAACGTGGACGGAAATGACAGTAAAAGGGTTTAGAGGTGTGACCGCGTGGAGAGTGAAGGACAAATTTCTCTGTGCTATAAAGTCTGAAATATATAAACACGTTAGTAAACACACTATAGGGAGCCTAAGTCACACCCATCTTACTTCCGGACCATGGGTCCCCGGAAGAATGAAAAAATTAATGCAAGTCAACTGGGCTAAAAATGCTATTTTCTAATTCCGCTTGTTGTGTGCCATTGATTTCACATGATGTCCGTGAATTTTAAAGACACATATTGATACCCAAAACGTGCTTATTTTCGAACAGGGGGAAACTAGGTTTTGTGTGAGACTACAAATTCACGAAAGTGACGTCATCGAACCAGACACGGAGAAAACTGAGGGAAAAGTTCAGCAAACTCCCCACAGGAGGAAAGAACCACCATAAATCTGGTCATTTGGTAAGTAGCAGCAATGCTAGGGGGAGGAGCTTATTTGGTGATGTCACATATGCGATGTGCGATTTCTGGTGTGTAGTCTAATTATGAACTTTAACAAGATGATAAATCTCAAAGCGACAGGCGTGGTCGAAACACCCATCATTAGTTTTTATTTAAATTGCAGTACTGTACAACATGTGCGATCCAGGGCGTAAGGCAAAGCGGATTAGAAAATAGCATTTTTAGCCCCGTTGACTTGCATTCATTTTTTCGTTCTTTTCGGGGACCCATGAGCTGACCAGAAAGGGAGGATACTTAGGCTCCATATTGTGGACCGGATACATGAGTGTTATGGTGGAAGGATGCCACAGGAAAGCGCTACACCTTGTCCTGACGGGGAATTGTTTTGCAACACTGTTGCCTGCGCAGGTTTTTTTTTTTTTTTGTAGTTTAGTTTATTTCAAACAAAGAAAACATACATATTTTTTTTAAATACCACAAACAGAAAAAATACATAACATCATCCCTTTATTTCTTCTCTGTTTGAAAAGGAGTAGGCTGAAGTGGAAACTTATATGTCCCTACCCCTTTATACTAGTAATTTTTACTTGTTTAGTAAATCTAACACAAAACCTACATTAAAACAAACAAAAGGGTACAAGTCACCAAAAACCACCAAACCATATGGGAAAAAAAATAAACACATCTTTTTACAATTGATACATATTACTTTTCCTTAGAATAAAGGACACCCACATAAATCGTCTATTTTCCACTATATACTTGTTCACAATATGTTTTTTGTAATTCATTTTAAACACATTTATATTTGTACTTACTTTGATTTCTTCTTCTAAATTGTTCCATAATTTAACCCCTATTATTGTGATACACATCTGTTTTAATGTTGTTCTAAACTTATGTATCTTTAAGTTCGCATTTGAAAACCTTTCCATCACTCTGTGTGCATATCTCTGTTGTGGAGCCCACAGAGAAGTATAGACACCCAAACAAAAAGATTAGCATTGTTGTTTATGCAGTCCAATGTAGTGAGGACGTCCAGACTTTCACATAGGAGAGACTAAACTACACAAGCACAACACAGGAGAGCCACCTCTTCAGGTCAAGACGCTGCATCTACTTACACCTTAAGTACACGGAACATGCCTTTGAAGATGACAAAGTACACATTCTAGACAGAGAAGATAGATGGTTTGAGAGAGGAGAAAAGGAAGCTATGTCAAATGTGGAAAAACCTACATAGGATGACGACTCTGGTTTCACCTTTTCACCACCTAAAATACAGCTATTGATCTTAAGCTGTTTCAGTCTAGGTCAATAGCTGCATCTAATCCATTGTTTACCAACCCTGGTCCTCACGGCACACTGACCCGAATGTTTTCCAAGTATCTGCTTCAACACACCATTGTCTCCTCAGGACAACAAATGCTGCAGATACCTGTTCATCACTCATTCATTTAAGTCAGGTGTGTGGCAGCAGGGAAACACTGTTGTTTAAAAGGGCGACATGGAAAACATGCAGGACAGTGTGCCCTGAGGACCAGGGTTGGGAAACACTGATCTAATCAACACAAATCCCTCACAATATAAGCTAACAACTAATCAGGTGGGTAGGGAGGAGGGGCATTCATAGGTAGTTTCTGCTTGTTAAGCAATTAGACAGCTGCATTTTATGAGCTTGAACCTCCCATATTCCAGTCAGAATTGTCAAAACTTCTCGGATGAGATGCAAAACATCTTCACGAAACCAAAGAAGTCCATTTGTCTTCATTCAAACTCTTTTGGATTACCATGACCTGAATGACTGAAGCCTAGTTTAAGCTTCTGCATCAGCTCCACAAGGGAGAAACGCACACCCATTGATGGAAATTGTTTTGCCTTTTCCGTCACCTGGGGAGTGTTGCAAAGCAATTCCTCACTAGGACAACAGAGAGGGTAGCGCTTTTCTGAGATATCCTGTCATGTATCCAGTCCAAGATGGTACATTTGTTGGGTTTATATTAGGGATGCACGTTTTACAGAATTTCTTTAACTGGTTATTCACGCCCCCAAACAGCCGGTTAACTGGAACCCCCCACCCCGACACACACAAACATTTGCTCTCTCTCTATAAATAACACTTTTTTTCATCTACAATTTTTTTTAATAATTCTGATGCACAACTAAAGTGCCACACTCGTTATATTTCTGACCAAAAGAAAAGACAGTGGGATGGTGGCTCATATGTTCGTCAAACTCAGAACTTGTTGAGCAGTTGACCGTCTGGCATCACATAAAAGCGCAGCATGCAATTACTTGCTCATGAGCGCATTCTGAAAGCCACGGTTTTTAAAAAACTTTTTAGTTTCCTTAAATAGAACTCTCCCTGGGCTGCCACCGTACCATGGTGGAGGGGTTTGAGTGTCTCAATGATCCTAGGAGCTAAGTTGTCTGAGGTTTTCTGCCTCTGGTAGGGTCACCCATGGCAAACAGGTCCTAGGTGAAGGATCAGACAAAGAGCAGCCCGAAGACCTCTTATGATGAATTATATAAATGGAAACCGTGTTCCATCACCCGGACGTGGGTCACCGGGGCCCCCCCTGGAGCCAGGCCTGGAGGTGGGGCACGTTGGCGAGCGCCTGGTGGCCGGGCTTTCACCCATGGAGCCCGGCCAGGCACAGCCCGAAGAGGAAACGTGGGTCCCCCTTCCCATGGGCTCACCACTCGTGGGAGGGGCCAAAGGGGTCGGGTGCCGTGTGTGACGGGTGGTAGTTGAGGGGTACCTTGGCGGTCTGATCCTCGGCTACAGAAGCTGTCTCTTGGCACATGGAATGTCACCTCTCTGGTGGTGAAGGAGCCTGAATTGGTGTGTGAGGTTGAGAGGTTCTGGCTAGATATAGTCGGACTCACCTCAACGCATGGCTCTAGCTCTGGAACCAGTTTCCTTGAGAGGGGTTGGACTTTCTACCACTCTGGAGATGCTCCCACTAAGAGGCACCGAGCAGGGGTGGGCATACTAGTTGCCCCCATCTTGGTGCCTGTATGTTGGGGTTTACCCCAGTGAATGAGAGGGTGGCCTCCCTCCACCTATGTGTGGGGAGATGGGTTCTGTCTGTGGTCTGTGCTTATGCACCAAACTACAGTTCAGACTACCCACCCTTTTTGGACACCTTGGAGGGGGTGCTGGAAAGCGCTCCTTCCGGTGACTCCGTCGTTCTGCTGGGGGACTTTAACGCTCACGTGGGCAACGACAGTGAGACTTGGAGAGGTGTGGTTGGGAGGAACGGCCCCCTGATCTGAATTTGAGTGGTGTTTTGTTATTGGACTTCTGTGCCAGTCATGGATTGT